GGGCCCGCCCGCCCTCCTGTCTGTCTCCCGGCCCCTGGGCTCTCGCGCGTCTGCGCAGTTACTTCTCGGGAAAGAGGAACCGCTCTGAAAGTTGTTCCCCTCGGGTAAGGGTGAGGCGGACCGAGGAGGGAGCGTGACTGGCCCAGGGTCACAAGACGGTGGCGCTCTTGGCCCAGGCACCTTCCGCCAAAACAATCGAGGGGAAAAGGCAAGGACGCCCCTTTCTTCCAACAATGGAAAGATGCCTCGGAGAAGGGCTGTTGATGTGGGAGGGATTCAAAGAGGGGAAGAAGAGGAGGAAGAGGTTGTAGGGGCTGTCCCTGGCACATACACACACTCACACATCCCCCTCCCACACACACACACCCATGTGGTGCTCCATCCTCCCCAGGTCCAGCCTTCAATGCTGTCCTGCCCAGAGGAGCTGTCCTGGGGCTCTGGCTGCAGCCCTCCTGTCGGGTGGCTTCATTCCTCCTCTCCCTCCCAAAGCCCAACTGCTGTCACTTCATGCTCTGCCAAGGAGGAGGGAACTGCAGTGACAGCAGGAGTAACGGAGTGGGAGGCAGGACAGAGCTGGGACACAGAGAGGTATGGAGAGGGGGTGCGGTGGGACCTAGAGGGAGCAGAGGAGCTGGGTGACAGCGGTGAGAGCCTGGGGAGAGGAGCAGAAACAGAAGGGAGAGAAAGGAGGCAGAAGACAGGGGAACTTGTGGGTTGCAGAGCCATTCAGTCATGCTAGGAGCCAAGCCACACTGGCTACCAGGTCCCCTACACAGCCCGGGGCTACCCTTGGCCCTGGTGCTTCTGGCCCTGGGGACAGGGTGGGCCCAGGAGGGGTCAGAGCCAGTCCTGCTGGAGGGCGAGTGCCTGGTGGTCTGTGAGCCTGGCCGAGCTGCTGCAGGGGGTCCAGGAGGAGCAGCCCTGGGAGAGGCGCCCCCGGGACGAGTGGCATTTGCTGCAGTTCGAAGCCACCACCACGAGCCAGCAGGGGAGACCGGCAATGGCACCAGCGGAGCCATCTACTTCGACCAGGTAATTCCCCTTCCACTGTCCAGAGGACCTAGAAACAACTGTCCAAACTCACTTTGCTGTCCCTCAGACTTTAAGAAAACAGCTCTCTCCATTTTTCCCTGGCTAGCCAGTTGCCCCTCAGCCCCACTGTTTCCCTCCCTCCACTCACACACACAGACCCTCCTCAGCCCTGCTCACCATTTCTTTTGAATCTGAACGCTTCTGTTCATGCCTACTTTCCACCCCTTCTGTTCAGTGCCCCTGCTCCCAACTCCAGTAGCATCCTTGAGCTACAGGCATCCCCCAGCCCCACTCAGCAAGTTCTGCTTCCCCCAGGTCCTGGTGAATGAGGGCGGTGGCTTTGACCGGGCCTCGGGCTCCTTCGTGGCCCCTGTCCGGGGCGTCTACAGCTTCCGATTCCATGTGGTGAAAGTGTACAACCGCCAAACCGTCCAGGTGATCTGAGCGCTGGGCCCCAGCCCCAGCTCGGGGTGGGTGGGGGTGGGAGTGGAGCTCACCTGACCCCTGCACAGACCCTCCATTGACCTGTGCCCTGGGAGCCAGGAGCGGGGGAGGAATGGGGGAGGAACGGGCCTGCCTTGAAGATAGTGTGGAGGATGTGCAGAGTCAAACGCTGGCTGCCCCTCAGCCCTTCCGGGAGAGTTCATTAAGCCTCAGGTTGCCAAGAGGAAGCCCTCGGGAAAGTGGGGTTCCTGAGCTGAGGACTGGGGCATGGTTGCTAACGGAGTTCCCCTCCCCAGGTGAGCCTGATGCTGAACACGTGGCCTGTCATCTCAGCCTTTGCCAATGACCCTGATGTGACACGGGAGGCAGCCACCAGCTCTGTGCTACTGCCCTTGGATCCTGGGGACCGGGTATCCCTGCGCCTGCGTCGGGGAAACCTACTGGGTGGCTGGAAATACTCGAGCTTCTCTGGCTTCCTCATCTTCCCCCTCTAAGGGCCTAGGCCTTTCAGGGACGGGAACCCAGCCCCTGACCACTGCCTTCTACCCTCGCCTGCCCCAGAAGCAGCATCTTCGGGGCAGGAGAGAGACTCCCTCCAGCTGCCTGTTTCCCACCTCCTTGCATGAGACCTTGTACTAAATACCCAAGGTTGAGAGTAGAGAAGAGTAGAGCTGTGACATCTCTGGGCCTGGCCCTTCCACCCACTCACCCACCCACCCCCTGTTGCCCTCCCAGCCACCTGCTGCATCTCTTCATGCTGCAGCTCTAGGACCAGGGCAAGGTTTGGCAGGAAGGGAGACCTGCACTACTCTGCAGTCTCTGCTCCTCCTGTTCCCTCACCCCAGCTTCCTGCTCAGTGCTATTTGGGGACAGGTGGCACAGGTGAGCCTGACAGACTCCCACAGGGGCCCAGATGGACCAGCCTCAGCATACCCTGCAGGTCTCTTCCTGTGAGGAATGTTAGCATCACGGCTCTTGGCCAGCACCGTTAGAAGCTGAACCAGCACCGTATGCTAGGGCAGGAAGGCTCAGCTACAAGCAGAAGTGCGGGGAGGGCCGCAGAGCAGCCTAGAGTCTGTGGCTGGTGAGGCAGGAAGGGGACATTGCCTAGTCCGAACATGGTACACATTCTGCATGTATACCAGAGAGCCAGGAGACAAAGATCCTGGCTGTTCATAAGTGCCAGGTTCCAGAAGGACTCTGGCCTTTACCTCCCCACCCAAGACTTGGGTGTGTACATTTGCTCTGGCCAAGAGCCGGTGTACAGAGCTGGATGTGGGGGTAGAAGGTCACACGTACACCATGGAACACATCAGTGACCATGCATCCTCTTGCTTGGCCACCTCCTGGATCTGCTCCACTGTTGACCTCTCAACTTCAATCACTCCACACTCTGACTGCCGCCTCCTTCCTCTCAGCTCTCTCACTGAGTTATTGTCACTGTACCTGTTCCAGCCCATCCCCACCAGCTTTCTTCTTTCTCCTGATCTGTGCTGTCTTATTTTCCTTCTTAAGTTTCCTAAGACCTGAGATTCTATGATTCATCCCTTCAGCTACTCTCCTGATAATATCAAAAGCTGACTCTCACACTCTCTCTTTCTCTCTCTCTCTCACCACTATCCCATTGGCCCAAGATGGATGAATCTATCCATGCAAAGTAACTTACAGGATTACTAAAGAGAGAAGTTGCCATTACCGTTTATATCAGGAATTACAGGATACAGGCAGGTATGTTGTAGAGAAATAAATATAAAACTATGTATTATAAGATAATAAAATATTTAGTAATGTTCAAGCTAAATGGGAATGTGAATTTGTGGTGTTTTTTTTTTTTTTAATAACTTTCAAACTTTGCCACTAAAGTAGCATAGAAACATCAGGAACAATCTGATATGCATTCTTAACACCTGGATCTTTGCCTCAAATATTAGTCACCATTTTAAAAACTTAGGATTCCTTGGAGAATTGCTGCACACCTTGAATAATTCTAGGCCTGAAACATGTTGAGAAAGCAGACTTTTTCAATGTATAGGGTAGAGCTGAAAGGCAAAGGAACCCAATTTATATAGGCTTCCACTTAACATGCTTTGACAATTTGAACATCAGAAGGAACATAATATAGTTAGTTACTTGGAACCAGGTGAATTATTAAAATCCATGAATCTATAATGATATTCAAAAAGGAAAAAGTAATTATAAAGTGTGCCAAAAGGTAGTTAATATTCTGAGTGAAGAAGAGTTACTATAATAAGTTATTCTTAGTTAACTGTGATAAGCAAAAGAGCATGAATATAGTAGGTATTTCATCTGTTTGTAAGGTACATTTGCTTTTATCTGTATGTGTAGGGAAGGGTGGATACAGAGAACTGTGAGTAATTCCAAGAGGAGTTGGAACGGCGCCAAGAATAAAGGGCACTGATCACACCATTTGGTCATATTTTGCAACTAGGAGGAAAGACAGTCCAACAATGTTACAAGATGATGAATTAGTCAAATATCCAAAAGACAATTGCTCAGTGCTCAGGCTTAATCATTCAGCTCCCAAATGTAGCCCTCCATATTACCCCACTAACTATAATGAGAAAAGAATAAGGCAAAACGATTAGGAGTAGGTTTGGCTGTAAGAATAGTTTAAGCAGGCCGGGCTCGGTGGCTCAGCCTATAATCCCAGCATTTCAGGTGGCCAAGGCGAGTGGATTGCCTGAGCACAAAGGTTCGAGACCAGCCCAGGCAACCTGGCAAAACCTGTCTCTACAATAAAATAAAAAATATCAAGCCGGGCTCGGTGGCTTAGCCTGTAATCCGCGCCTTTGGGAGGCTGAGGTGAGTGGATTGCCTGAGCCCGTGGGTTCGAGACCCACCTGGGCAACTTGGTCAGACCTCATCTCTACAATAAATCAAAAAATCAGCCGGGCGTGGTAGCGCATGCCTGTAATTCCGGCTACTCGGAAGGCTGAGGCGGAAGGATCGCCGGAGCCCAGCAAGTTGAAGCTGTGGTGGCTGGGAGCAGCTGGCCACTGCACTCCAGTCTGGGTGACAGAGTGAGACTCCTACTCAAAAAATAAATAAATAAATAAAAATTAAAAAAATAAATAAATAACAAATATCCAGGTGTGGTAGCGCGTGTCAGTAGTTCTGGGCTACTCAGAAGGCTGAGGTGGAAGGATCACTGAAGCCCAAAAGGTCAATGCTGGGGTGACCGTGAGCATGCATGCCACTGCACTCCAGCCTGGGTGAAGGAGTAAGACTCCAACTCAAAAAAAAAAGAAAAGAATAGCTTAAACAAGATAGGAGATAATTTATCTCACCTAGAAGAATCTGCTAATAGAGTCCAGCAATGGTTGGCAGTTTTGAGACCATCAAAGCCCGGGCTCCTGTCTTGCTGTTTGACCATCTTTAGCATGCCACTTCATGACCCAAGATGGCACCCTGAGCTCTAGCCATTACTCCAGCCTAACAACCCCCAGGAAGGAGGAAGGAAGCAAGGGTACATCTCTCCTTTAAAGAAGCTTTCTGAAAAGTGCATCCAATATTTCTGATTTTATCTCACTGGATGGAATTTAGTCACACCTGGTTACAACAAGCCAGGGAGAGAGGCTTGGAGATAAGAGTCATTATTCCAGGCCACCATATCCAGCTAAAAGTCAAAAGCTTTATAATAAGCAAGAAGGAAAGATTGAATATTAGGGAAGACAACTAATACAAATTTTCAAAATACAAATAGGTCAGATCCATTTGTAAATAATGATAGTAAAGTTACTGTATTAGTTTTCCATTGCTGTGTAACAAATTACAGCAAATGTGGCTTAAAACAAACTTGTTTATTGTCTCGCAGTTTCTATAAGTCAGAAGTCTAGCAGAGCATGACTGGATTCTCTGCTCAAGGTTTCACAGGTTAAAAGCAAGGTGTAGGCAGGGCTGCCATCCTTATTGGAGGGGAAGAATCCACTCATTTTAGAATTCAGTTCCTTATGGTTGTAGGACTGAAGTGCTAGCCCCCTCCATCCTTGAGCCAGCAATGGTGGACCAGGTCCCTCTCAAGCTTTGAATCTCTCAGCCTACCCTTCTGCCACGTCTCTCTGACCTCAGTGGAGAAAGTTATCTGAGTTTAAGGATTCATGTGATTAGATTGGGCCCAAATAATCCAGGATAAAATCCCTATTTTAAGATTCATGACCTGAATTGCTTAAGTGAAATTCCTTTTGCCATGTAACATAACATATTCACAGGTTCCAGGGATTAAGGAATGGACATCTTTGGGACATCCCATATCATAGTCATTAAAGATGACACCTTGTAGCCGGGCTCAGTGGTTCAGCCTGTAATCCCGTGGGAGGCTGAGGTGAGTGGATTGCCTGAGCCTGCGAGTTCGAGACCTGCCTGGGCAGGGGAGACCTCATCTCTACAATAAAATAAAAAAATTAGCCGGGCGTGGTAGCATACGCCTGTAATTCCAGCTACTCGGAAGGCTGAGGTGGAAGGATCGCCGGAACCCAGCAGGTCGAGGTTGTGGTGGCCGGGAGCGGCTACTACACTCCAGTCTGGGCGACAGAGTGAGACTCCAACTCAAAAAAAAAAAAGATGACATCTTGTAGAGAAAAGGCATCCAGATACAGTACACTAAATGCATGAAAAATGTATGGACTTGAGAAACTCCCATGATATGTAAGATAAATACCAGCCCAAGTTTTAATCATTTTAGAAGCTGAACCAATTCCCAGGTCCCAAACAAGTATTCATTGATTAATAATCCAAAACTTGATCTGCACTGACATAATGTTCTTCCTTTGGATATCCAAATTCCAAAATTGGTCTGAACTAAGAAAGCATCCCTGTCTTGAGTCTACAAACCCATTTTTATGACGGGTTTAAGTGGAAGTGTCATAAATTGCATAATCCTTGTAGTAATATGTATGTGTTACCAAAATGAAGCTTTTAAAGAAGCTGACATATTAGACTGGTGATTCGATTGAAATATTTAGGAGGATGTGATTAAGTTTGTGATCAATATTTAAATAATTTGTTAAATGTATAGACTGATTTGTTCATTATATAAATGTATTTAAATGGTTAGACAATTTTTGCTCCAGTAGACTTGTGAAATAAATAGATTAAACAAGAAATAAGGCACAGGTGATGGTGAGTGTTTTTCTCCAGGTACCAAAACTTCTCAGGATTTAAGGATCCTAAGAATAGACTCCAAACATCCACTTCCCCTACACCCATGTCTGGCAGCCAGTTACTACAGAAAAGGTCCCAATGATGCAGGATTCACTATGGGTGAATAGACTCCATGGACGCCACCCATACCTGCTTCTCAATACTCCACGCAGTTCTTTGCTGGTTTCTTTTGCCAGCTTTTCCTTATCCTCCCTAGAATCCAACTGCAGCCTTCTGTTCTCTTCTTAAACCTTTTCCCCCACCAACTCTGCCCTTGCTATCAGCAGCAGACAACCTCACCTTCTACCACACTGAAGACACAGAAACGCGAAGC